CGATGACCTTCCATTCAAACAGCATGAGAAATAGAGCTATCCCGCTTTCCACATGTCCGCCATACAAATCCAAGCCTATCATTTGGTAACCAGTGCCTCTCAACTTTTCCATGGACAGTACCACACCAGGGATTTAGCTCACCAAGTCCAGCAACCGTGACTGACACAACGTTCCGTTCAAATACAAGAGCCATATTTTATACTGGTCACACAGGCATTCTTTGTCACTTTACTTATTCTGTTATACTGTATGTACGCCTGTCATGACAAATATTATATAGACTTATCGTTCAATATATGAAAGCTGGAACAATATGTGAAGCGTTAAATCTCTCCGTTTTGAAAAATTACCAAAATTACCATACGTCGCACTTTTTTTCATGGTTTGGGTGTTTCCTGTGACTTATATACTAAAGTTTTCACACCGACAGCCGCGAGAGGCTCTAGGCTTGTGTGTCAGTATCTGCTACTCCTATTATTCCTGTAACACTGTCACTTTGCTCAACTGCGCATGTCTCCTGCATGTGTTATGCTGCAAGTAGTGAAATATTCAGCCAAAAACGGTAGTCGAGCAACACAAAGAAAGTTTATAGTGAGTGAGAAACTTGTGAGGGACTGATGGAAAGAGGGGATGGAGAACACAGGTCGCGGAGTTGCTTAGAAGTGACACCTGGGATGAAGAATTCAATGGATTTAGTGATTTGGAGTGAGATGGAGAGTTTGGTAAACTTGTTCTGTTCTGTTGTTTATGCTATAATTATCTGAAGAACTGTTCATATGTGATGTTAACAGCCTGTTGTTCTCTGTTCTATTGTTATTACTATAACTTGCCTTTCAAGACGAAATATCTGTTCCTGGTCTCTGATTTTATAAAATAAATTTCCCCCAAAAAGTGCGACTTATACTCCGGTGCACCTAATATATGTTTTTTTCTTCTTCATTAACGCAATTTTTGTTTGGTGCGACTTATACTCCGGAGCGACTTATAGTTCGAAAAATACGGTACTAGGTATTATCAGTGACAATAATATCTCCATTATGTACAGTTGATTTTATTAAGAAGGGATGGAATAATATTTTGATTGTAGTAAAGATAGTAAAGCAGTAAAGAGATTGCTTTTTAAACTATTATTGTATTAAAGGTGCACTGGTGGGGGGTCCGTCAAATGCTTTTCTCCAAGGAGATGTTATTGCTTTGTCTGGAATGTTTCATAGTATGGTATTAAAAGTTTCTGCCATTTATTCTGTGGAGCTCAAGCTTTTTTAATACTATCTTTTAAAAAAGTGTTTTACTGGGATTATCCGACTTTGTGACAGTGCTATAAAGTATTTCAATATTATCATGTATCGCATTATTTATCTGTAGCTTCAGATTTTGTTATTGTGGCAGGCCTTATTTTATGTTTGTTTTTCTGGTCTTCTGACTTAACTTGTGAACTGAGTTTGTAAGTTTTTGATTGGCATTTCATCAGATATTATTGCCTTAATCCACTTGTTTTGTGTTGCATTGTGCAGTTGGGATGCACTGGCCTACATAGAGTTTCACTTCACTTTTGAGCTTTTCTAATTAACTGCAATAGCCGAGTCACAATGCAGACTTCAATAGACTTCAATAACATACTAGAATCTGAAATGATATCGTGCTACCCATTTTCTGACTCCATGGATTGTCATTGACTTGCGGTCATCTTGGTGGAACATACAAGAGTGATGCAACCACTTTGCAAGACACAAGAGTATTTGCAGTCTATAGCTTCTGCCCAAAAAACCTTGAATCTGGCTATAATTTTGTATACATACTTTTATTATTATTATTTACTTTTATGTACAGTAACTATATATTAACACAAATATTTTATCTAAACATGATTTATATAAGTATTAAAAGATTATGATGGTCTCAGTCCACTTTCTAAGTATTACACAGAACATTCACACAAAAAACTAAGCGTAAACTTTGAACTGTTAATTTTTTAGTAAATGTTTGTTCACCAATCTGAAGGCTGATGGTTAGATCCCATTTTCCAACCTGTGCACAGTAGCATTGTGTCTTGGGCAAGACACTTCACTATGTAACTTTTCTTGAGCAGGATCAGCCACAAGCTTGTTTCCGTGGAAATGCTGCATTGAATGTTCCACAGTATAAAAATAAAACCATTAACTTTGCATTTGTTCAGTAGGTGTTTTATTGAAAATCACTTGAAAACATTCATTCTTTCTGTGACGGGGTCTCTCCACAGATCTAACCTGTAAGTAGGCCTGTCGCTGTCGTCTGCTAGTCTTCATGGAGATAATAAGTTTTGGCACATTTAGTGGAACATTTCAAGCAATGCAGTAATTCATGGAGACAAGCAGGTAGCAAACTCCTATCAGAAAAGTCATGTTATAATTGACATATTTTAAAATATTCACCTTAAACGACAAAGAAATAACAACGACTTAACAACAACGATTTTTCAACTCTGAAGGATAGCTGCAGATTACCCTAGCAAGTCCTGGATTTTTTTTCTTCATTTGTACCAACTTGTACCTACACAGTGCTGCCGAATTAAGAAAATAAAATTGGAGAACGAAGTACAGAGCAATGGGCGTATTCTGATGGCAGTGAAAACAGGTTGATTGACAAAATAATGATTAAAGATTACTCAAAAATGCACGAATCACTCCAAAAACAACTTCTAGAGGGCAAACAAGAGAAGAGGAAACAACTATAACATGATCAAAAGCTCAAAAAAGTTGATTTTGAATAACAGGTCAGTTTAAGAAAAGCCTATATGGACTGTTTATTCTTGTCAGTGTGAGCTCTTAGTTCTTTAGCTTTATCTACGTACATTAAAACAGGCCATATACGTATCTTGAGGACTAAAATGAGGACAGAGAATGCAGACTTCTCCTCTTTGCACCGGGCCGTTTGATGTTAGGTAAGCCTCCTCATTAACACCCCCAGACGCTCCGAGCTGCAGGTCCTAACAATATTCTGAATCCTTGTTGCACTTTGAGCTGGAGTCATTATTTGGATGTTACAAACGAGGGAGAAATACATCAAATCATATTAAGGTGATTCAAATGTGGTTTCCTGTGGTCTGAAGAGAAGTTGTTCACACAGAGAAGAGTGATTTGTTTTATACTGTCATAACGTTTTTTGAAAAGCCTCATGAATATAACGGAACTCCCGACTGCAACACTAACCGTGTTACACATTAGACTCATTTGAGACGTTTTCAACCAAACAGTTTTTTCAATTTGCAAAAACAAAATGGCATTGTAAAGTTTTTGCAAAGCTTTCAAAGTGAAAAACTGAACCCCAGTAATCACTTTAAGATTTGGTGCTTTACTTGAGGGGAAAGAGGCAACAAAACTGTAACTGATCTGTAAAACCAAAGTCTGTCAAAAAATGAAGCATGATATATTGCTACAGAGACATATAATGCAATAAACGATAATACTGAAACTACTTTATGGCAATGACGCAATAACAATAATGCAGGATAATCTCATTACACCTTTTTAAATAGACAGCATTATTAAAAGACATGAGCTCCAACAAATATTCAACCTTTTACAGCTCAAATCTTTGTGCATTACAACAAATATACCCACTTTAACAAAGAGATTGTACACACGATAAATATTGAGCCCCAGAATATACTGTTCCATGTTAAGTCAATACGGTAATTATCCTGACAGGCCTAGTAAAACCATCACATTAGAAGCGCTGTTTCTAATTAGACTGGCCAGCCCTGTTGTATTCTCACATATGACCACTAAATGCTACCTATGTTATTTCAGTCAGACAGAAGAAGACCAGAGAGCACAGGTGAGTCTGAACCATAAACTATATACCATATTTACCATATTTATAAGACGCACTTAAAATCCTTTAATTTTCTCAAAAATCAACAGTGTACCTTGTGTATTAATTCTGGTTGTGCTTACTGGCCTTGAACCGATTTTATGTGGTACACGGCGCTCAAAAACCTGTCAAAATGTTTTAGTACGACTTTGGTAAGACACAAAGCCACACCACTTGATGGATTGTCAGAGCATTACGGCTACAGTAGTCAGGAGCCTTGCAGAATAATACACATTCACCAAGACAGGGAGGCAACACCGGCCGAGTTGTGCCATGATCTGCCAATGGATCGTGGATGCCTGGTCTGAGCTATTGTGAATAAGTTGAATAAAGTTTGACTTATCTGTTTTGTTTCACTTAATGTGCCTTATCTATGAAAATAGACAAGAGAATTCACATTATTATTATTCAACATTATTGACATTGTGCCTTAAAACCCGGTGTGCATTATAATCCGAAAAATATGGTATAGAAGTGGACAAAGTGAGTGTGACGTCACCCATAGTGTTCGGCTTCAGTCAAATGAAGCTCGTGATGCTTGCAGTAACGGGGCGAATTTGGAGCCAGGCTCTACATTATGAATGGGATTTTTTTTTTATGGACAATACAGCAAAATAAAAACCTCAGGATCATGTAACGCGTGTTAATACGAACATTTTAAGACCAAAATGACGAGGCTCACAGCAGCAGTTACAGAGAGAGTGGCCACAATATTCCAATGTAAGTCAATGGGAGTCAGGGTCAGTAGGAGCCAGAAGTGCTTGCATACAAACTTCCTATTTGGAACACAACAGGTTAGTTATGTCCATTTATACATACAGTCTTTGGCCTGATCAAAGGCCAGGCCAGGGGACCAATAAATTTACAGAGTCTAGCTTTAAAAATATGAAAAACTGATTTGTTTGCAGTGGTTCAAACTCTCACTTTACTTGAGTTCGCCAAACAGAGTTCAATGAAAGAATAACATTTCTGTCAACTTTATTTACTATAAAAATCTGTGAATTTCTGTAAAATTGAGAACTTCTGTAGCGATATATTCCTTATTGTGTCAGCCACTTGTTTGAATGCCTTTTGTGCCATATAAAGGAACGTTTTGTGGACACAGAATCTTAGCAAAGTGTTTAAAAAAGTTTTGGACCACCCATACCTTCAAGGATGACTTCTTTGCCCGTTTTCTTCAAGGCCTGGACAGCCTCGTCGTGCGTGGCCTCTCGTAAGTCAAACCCATTGACGGACAAAATGGCGTCACCCACATAAAGCGCCTCGGTCTGGTCTGCTGCCAGCCCTTTAAAAATCTTTGAGATGAGAATTGGCATCTTGTTCTCCTTTCCACCTGAACAACAAAGAATTAAATCAAAGTTAGTCAAAGTATTTTACAGATGTTCAAAATGAGTGTCTATTAAAATCATTAAAAGTGTAGAGTCGTGACATTTATTTGATTTTAATTGAGATTCAGGAATTTCTAAATTGCTATTGGACAGCTTTAGGGCTTTTTCAAGAGGTCTACAGCTAATGGAATCATGTTGTGGAGTCCTAATTTTGAAGATGTTTAAAGGTGCACAATGTAACTTTTTGGTTGGGGGCCTGTCTTGTTTTTATGCAGGGGTCCCACGGTCATGGAAACCCTGGAAAAGTCATGCAAATTGAAAATGTCATTTTCTAGGCTTGGAAAAGTCATGGGATTTTGTAAATTCAATAAAAGCTTTGGAAAAGTCATGGAATTTTAGTGTCTCTTTCAAGCAACTACAGCGTTCTGTTAAGTTATCATTAGGCTATTATGATTATTTCTGAACGTTTGCACCTTTTGTTTAAAAGAGACGACAATAAATGCACTAACAGTATTTTGAATGTTAAAAAACTATAATCCCAAACCATAAGGTGAGTAGAAAGGGTTAACATTTCATATTTAGCTCTAAAAGTCTGATCAATTGTACACATGTAGGTGCTGTAAAGTCATGGAAAACTCACTTTAATTCATGAAAAAGTCATGGAAAAGTTTTGAAATTTTGTCAATGAAAAAAAGTGGGAACCCTGTCTATGAATATGTCATTGCTCTGCCTGGAATGTTCCACAGTGTGACATTAAGCAGCTCAACCTTACATGTGTTAAATTGCATGTGGTTTCATAGCTAAATAGAAAAACAGGCATTCTGACTGTGAGTAGGGTCGCCTCTCCACAGATCTAACCTGCAACTTGGTCAGGTTTGGTCTCCATGAAGACAGAAAAGTTTAATACCATACTGTGAAACATTTCAGACAAAGCAATAACAAAATTATACTGAATGCCATTTCATTTGTTTTTAATAAACACAAATATAAAGTTGACTCAGCAAATTTGAACAATCAATAAAAATATGTCTGTTATAATTATTGTTTTGTATCTCCAATAAAAGTCAGTCCTGGAGGGAAGTGAGATTAAAAAGGTGTTCAAGTCTATATTTCCCATTACTGCAATAAAAGTGAGTAAAAACAAAAAACAAATAAAAGAAAAAATTGGTATATCCATTGGAACCTTATATTAACCCCAAAGAAAGAATAGAATAATACAGTTTGATGCCTATAGGGACTGATTTAACCTGATCCCAACTTGTGTTCCTCCTATAGCTAGCAGTCAGCAGTAATTTCATTTGGATCTCACAGTGCTCCTCCTCTTCATCAGAAATATTACCGTTAATGTCAGCAATCTGTACAGCAGCCTTCGGCACACTGAGGAATTATTTAACAAGAGGATTACGCCCCATTCATTTTAAACATTGCCCTTGCTCCTCTTTTGCTTATGTGCAATTCAACTATTCATCTTTGGAGGCCGCAGTCTCGCTTTGGATTAAAAATATATAGATCATTCATTTATTATATATGTTTTTAGCGCATTGTCTGTTTCTGTTACACTGGACCGCAATGGTACAAGGTTGCTGCAGTTTTAGCCACTTGAATACAAACTGTCACTGAATACCAAGTCCGTCCTTGCAAAGTGCGAGGAAATACTGGCATTGAAGTCATCTCTCCACTTTGCAATATTTCGTTTTTATGGTTTAAACCTTTTAAGAAAACTAGGGATGCCCCAGTATGATACTGGTGTTGGATATCGGCGCCATTACTGAAAATTTTGCTTCGGCTTCCAAATATTGGTTCAGTCGATATGATTTGACAATATAAATTGATGTAGTATGATTCTTTACTGGCCCAGAAAGTCTTAGAGTAAACTTTTATTTAAACAAAGCTGTTCTTTAGTTACTTGAGAGATAAATATCCAACTACATCATACATTTGATTGGTTTTGTTTATTGTTTATTTTTGTTTTAAGGAAATGCTGTTTTCAGTTTCTGCACTGGTATCAGCTGATATTAGGTACCAGAGGTGGGGACTTGCAAGTCGTGACTTGGACTCGAGTCAGACTTGAGTCACAGTATTTTTAGGACTTCAGATGTGACTTGATAAAATGGACTAAGACTTGGGACTCGCCTTGGAATTACAGGTAGATGACTTGGGACTTGACTCGGACTTAAAGTCAAAGACTTGGGACTTACTTAAGACTTGCAAAACAATGACTTGATTCCACCTCTGTCGGGTACTGGCAGATCTTTAAAGCTATAGTATCGGAATCGGTATGGGAATTGGAAAAGTTGAGTGCTGTTTTGATTTGGTGTAGGGCTGAACTATTAGCAATCGGATAAATATTGCAGTTTAAATGGACGCAATACCGTACTTTCCTCCACAGTAAATTATTATTATGTTTTATTCTGCATAAACATTATAATCCTGTAGTTCAAACAGAATTATAATATTAAAACATAAATCACAAATTGAATCGCAATGGTAACGTTAGTCACAAAAAACTCAAGATATTTTCCCCAAATCGTTCATCCCTAGTTTGGTCAGTAAATAAATAAAGGAAAGTTTGCAATTCACAACATACTTGTGGTGCAGCAGTGCCTCAAAGACCCCATTTCATTTTCCATTTGGTTCATTATAGCTTCTAGGCTATCGTCAATGGTAAACTGTTGGCTTTTATGTGTTTTCGGTCAATCAGACTTTGTGCCCTCCAATTTAGTGCAGCACCTTAACTGCTCTGTCAATACTGCAATTCCTGGAAGTAACATACAGTATTAAACCCACTCTCACTCAAAACTCCATGAAACTGATGGTCCTGCAGTAACGTCTTTATGTCATGGACAGGGCACGACCAGTGATTGGCAACTGAATTTTAATTCAAATAATTTACATTTTTTTCTGGTTGATAGTGCAGCATGCTTTTGTTCTTTGAGGTGTTTTCCACAATATAGCTTTTCCAGTTCCAATACGGATATAGACTATAGGTTTAAGGATCTGCCTAGACCAGCGCAGAGACTGAAAACAGCATTTATTTCCTTAAAACAGAACTAAATTAAGGCAAAACTGATCGAAATGCGTTATGTAGCTGTTATTTACCTCTGAAGTAATGACAGAGCATCTTTGGATAAATAAAAGTTCAAACTTTCTGAGTCAGTAAATAGTTTTATTACATCAATGTATATGTCTAATCAGGATAACAGCTGAAACGATATTTGGAAGCTGCGGTCCAATCCAGCTAAATTTTCAGTGTGAGCGCCAATATTAGGTACCAGCATCGGATCGGTGCATCCCTAGTTTTATTTTCACAACAACCAACCTTTCACTTCCAGGTTGTTGTACTGTATAACCCACTGCACCACTCCTGCTCCTTTTAGAGGGCGCTACTTGCTTAAAATGTTTTTGGTTATTCTTGACCTTTATACTAAAAACAGGACAGAACCACATGGAAAGAGCTGAGCAAGGCAAACTTTCCCCACAAATCAACCTTGCAACATTTAAACTATGCTAACTTACCCTTGCACAAATTAGGGTTCCCACTCTTTTTCATTGACAAATTTTCTAAAATTTCCATAACTTTTCATGACCTAAAGTGAATTTTCGATGACTTTACGGCACCCCAAATGTGTAGAATTTAGCATACTTTTAGAGCTAAATATTAAATGTGTGAAAAATCCCTCAGTCTTCCAGGTAGAATCCATGGTAAAAAAAAAAAAAAATGTAATTTGTCAACTGGACAAAAGTTTATTTGGTCAAATAAGTTTCACAGCTCATCCAAGCTGCTTCTTCAGTTCTGGTCAGACGCTGGTGGATACTTCTTTATAGCTGCCTGAAGGAAGGAGCTAACTACAAAGAAACTACTCTGAAACTAACATACCTACCCAGAAACTGTAAACAGGTAGATGTGTTAATTTCAGAGTAGTTTCATTGTGGTTAGCTCCTCCTTTTCCGCCAGATATAAGGAAGTGTCTACCAGCATTCTCATTAGAACTGAAGAAGCAGCTTGGATGAGCTATGAAACATATTTGCCCAAATAAACTTTTGTCCAGTCGACAAATTGAATTTCTCCTTTGTCTAAATATGAAATGTTAACAAAAGATACGTTCGGAAATAATAATAGCCTAATAATAACTTGACAGAATGCTGTAGAAAGAGATACTAAACTTCCATGACTTTTCCAGGCCTAGAAAATGACATTTTAAATTTCCATGACTTTTCCAGGATTTCCATGACCGTGGGAACACTGCATATGATTTTATTGCGCACAAATTTCTGACACACTTTACTGTACACACTTTAGGGTCACCAACTGGCCTTCTTATATAACCTATTCGTGCCTGCACATTCTTTCAGATTTTATATTGACATAATACTAAATAAACACTGGCACACGGCACAGAGTAATCCCTTGCATATTTCACCCTGCACCCAGCTGCCAGCGCTGTCACTCCATCCATACAGCGTCGTATGTGGGTGCTAGGGTGCCACTGCTGTCCTAAGCCCTGACAGGTAAATGAATGGGAGAACTTTATTAGCCGCTGACATGTACGTAATTAGCTAAGTCCGTCCTAACCGAGTGTGTTTGTTTTGATACAAGGCATGCACTTTGAAAGATTTCAGCATGATCAGCATTTAACTTTACCAGACTTGATCGGCCTGCTTGCATGTAGCTCTATTGAACGCTAACAGGAAAAGTGTCAAAACAAAACTTATGACAGGAAATGTATAAAAAGGTTGTTTGGGTGAGTTATAAATAGAAAAAAAAAAGCGCAAAGGAAGTAAGGCGCTACTTGCGTTGTTCTGTTGACGTGAGCTCACTGGCAAAAACGCTTAAGTCAGCAATAACAAGCAATCATGACACACGCTGATGAATTCATAAATAATACATCTATTCTTCAGTCAAAGAAAACAGAGGCTATTTAATAATTGAGTAATATAAAATAAGCATATCTTTACCAGTTAATATCAAAACAGTAGACTAGACTGCATTTTCTGTAAGAGTCTG